GTGAGCCACAGCGTCATCTGGCGCCAGCACCACAGCCTCCCTACGTCGGAAGGTCCCAGGAAGGTCAGGCAGCCCGAACCTGTCTGCGACGAGCTCCAAAGGCAGCAGAGGACTGACGCAGCAGCCGAGCGGGCGCCTCTAGTTTTGTGCTCAGAGGAGCAGCACGACTATTTCCGGGACGTCCGGAGAGAGACGGCACGCGGCGATGCCCCCCCCCCCCCCCCAAGACCACTGAAGGCCACGGGTCTGGTCACGTTAACGACGCGTCCCAGCACGGCACGGGCCAGTGACGGGACCTCGCAGGCGAGATATCTGGCAGCAGCTGGTTCTGTGCCCATAGACGCCCGCAGGAAAGGTTACGATGGCTGGTCGGTCGGCCAGTAACGCCGGCTCCGAGCGGCCCGACAGAGCGCCGCTCTCAGACCCAGCCGCGAACAGCCCGGCAAGTGTGAGAGCGGGCACCTGGTGCGCCACGAACCATGTAAAAGACGAGCTCCTTGGACGCCAGTCCCTGCTGAGCAACCATGCAGATGAAGCGCCCGGGAGTCCAAATCATCATCAGTGCCACCAGCGAAGTCCTTAATGCCCATATAGATCACCAGCACTCATGACTGGCCGGGCAAACGGGCTTCATCCTGAGTAGGCCCCGCTATCTGCGGGTTGAAGCCCTTATCCCATATGCCTGTACCACAACTGCCGACAACTGCTTGGCGCTCCCCTAAGCTAGGTGTGATAAGTTGACTGGTGACGCACCGGTCAAGCACTTACGATGCCCTCGACTCCGGTTGGCCTTGTCCGATCATACTGTCCAGTCAATATCCTTGTATATAACTGGGGGAACTGTAGGATAACATGAAAAACGTTTGTTACAGTCTACGAGCGCTGGCTTTGTGGTGGAGGCCAACCAGTGTCCGCTCCCCATGGTAGACTCACGTCCAACTATCCCAGCAATACGAGGCAGGGTGCGCACCACTTTCAGCAACAAAGCTCTCAGTACAGGCGATCACAAGCACAGCGTATTCGCAAAAACGCCCCAGGCTATCCGCTACCCATTCATTGTCAATATCACGATATCCTCAGTCCGCGCCAATCGCCGTTGTACGTTCGTCACTGAGCCATAGGCCGTCAGTCCGCCAGAGCATGTTCATTGTTATCAGCGTTGAATGATCATGGTAGGTCGTATTGGCACACATTTAATAGCAGCACTACGACCGCAGACAGCGTCCGGTGATCGCCGTCCGGGCCAATGGGAGAGGATCACGTGACCGGCTCGGGCTCGGCTGAGCCCGTGCCGAATGTACCTGGTCCAGGTTCGGCGGGCACACCAACAGTGGAAGCTCCTTCGACAGTGAACAATCTCAACTGTACAGTCGGAAAGGTGTCAGGGCGTACTCGCACATCGTGCTGTCAGACGACAGCACATCCGGTACACGGGCTCGGAGAGGCCCATACGCCTACCCAGGGATTGCCCCGTTTTGGCTCATCTTCCACCGAAGATCACCTTGATGCAAAATATCAAGTCCCATTTTGACCAACAGAGTTGGTCTTCGTGCACCCCGTAATTTGTGCGAGGACTGGGTCAGAGGAATTTAAAGTCGGGTGGAGATCTACCGCACGCACCCCATCTCACAGCTGTTAAATTGAGCATTCTATCTACGGCTAACTTCTCAGTTCCCATCGTTCATCCCACGGTACCGCCGTCAGTTTTCAGCGATGTGTCCGTGGCACGGGTCCTCAGTTCAATCGCTAATCCGTATTTCTCGCACTCACTCTCTAATGCCGATGAACTGCGCAGATCGGGTTCCATTCCCCGTGGAAGCCCCGTCCTGCCAGGATGAGGAGCAGGCGACGCCACATAGGCCTCAACAGCTGAGTGCGTCGTAGAACATCAATGAGGGACAGACAACGCAAATCAGCGTAAGCAAAACATTCTCTTCCGTTCGACTCCGCGTTTCGACCCTCAAAGCACAGCCATTATTCCCAAAAGCAGTCTTCGGTTGAGTGCTACTGGGATGGCTGCTCGACCTCATGCCGCTGACTTGGTGGGCGAGCCTCGCTCGTTATCCGCCGCTGGATCCCGTGGCCGTCTCCGCCCACACCCACGCTGTTGCTGCTCAGCCTTCACGGAGCGGCGGACGTGCGGGGCACACAGCCAGTATTCTGCTCGCCAAATGAGGTGCTTTCCACAGCCCACAGCTGGTTAATGGCGGGCGGCGGTCAATCTGGGCGCGCCACTCTGCTGAATCAGTCCCTAGCCCCTCCCCGGCCAGCCTGATGCGTCTTGCGGCTGCACCTCACCCCACATAGAGTCCATTCCGGGGAGGCGCACAGCGGCACCCAGCCCATCCGACAGTTAGCAGCCCGCACCGCGGCAGGGTGCCACCTTCAGTTTCGCTGCCTTTATTTCATCAAACGGGCGTGAGCGGCACAGCAAGGAGGGTGTCCTATCGATATCGTGGCATGCTGGTATTAGCTCGGACTATATACGTCTGCTGGCGTCGTCATATCCGAGAGGCTGGCGCGTCAGGCTCCCACGTGGGAGGTCCGAGTTCGAATCCCGGTTGCGTCATGGCCTTAGATCGGGAGTGTGACCAATGCGATTGCTGACGCACCGTAAACATCCCCATGAAAGCCATGAGCGTGCGCATGGGGGCTCAGCGCTTGGCGCGGTCGCCGATTATAATCGGCGCGTGCACCGCCGATCACTTTTGATAAAAACACTCGTAGTGTATTCTCAGTGGTTTGCATGAGTGGTTTCCGATTACTTGCGCTGCTAAGTATAGCTTGTTGCGTGCACCATGAACCCACCCCCCAAGTAGTGCCGTCCGGTTAAACGGGTCATTTTGCCTGCACCCTTTCACCGGACAAGAATGCGGAGGGTTTTACGTGCCACACAATTCTGCGGTACGGTCGCCCAGGGTCTGGGTGAATACTCTTTGGCCAGTTGCCAGCCGACCTTCCCTCCCTCATTACTCCAGCTCTGGGACTTGTGCCCAATGCCGCTGGGTTATGAGACCAGCATCTTTTCCCTAGAGCGCGGAGACGGCAAAATTATAGCGCAATATTTACAAACGCAAATCCGAAAGGAAGGTAACGGCGAAACGAGCAGAACAGATGTACTCCACACCCTCTAAATGCGTGGCAGCGCAGTGGAACAGCACGGTACCGCAGCACAAAATGTACTGGCGACTGCGAACTCTGCCAGTGAGTGTGTGAGTCAGAAGCTGTCTGCGACGGCAGAAGCCGGTGACGCATCAGTGCAGGGTGGGGGTCGCGTGGGCGGGAGTGGTAAGCCAGAAATGGAAGGGTGGGTAGGGAGCAGACGGGAGCGGATGACAGAGAGGGAGAGAATTCGCCCGCATTTGGAATATGTGCATGACCGCTAGGGCTTGCATGCAACCGTCGGCGACATATTTTCGGATTACGGGTCATCACACACAACACAGCATCACACAACTAAGCATAAGCCACGAATTTCTGCCACCCCTTGACAATCGTTAGTTCAAAACCCAGCTGGGCTCAAGGCCCTGCAGTGTCAGTACACCGGACTTCAGCCGCCTATCACAACAAACAAATCGGCACAGTCGGGGGAGGGGGGAGGGAGGGTCAGGGATGGGCTCTGTGCACGCCATCGGCTACAGTCTGAAGCACGGCGACGCCACAAGCGGGCAAGGCTATACGCTACCGGGGCAACACAGGGGACAAAACTGACGACTGTCGCTTGAGCAAAACGGGATGTTGGTATTATTCAGGCCGGGACTGACGTGAGTGGTCGACGGCTGGGCGGGCGCCGGCCGCGGCCGGACCGGGCCGACTGACCTGCTGTGTGGCCGGCGGCCGGCTGATGGGCGGGCCGACCGGGCCGGCGCGGCGCGCTCATGGCGCCCGTGCGGCGCGCTGCTCCGCGCCGCTCCCGCTCTGGAACAGGGCGCCGAGTAACGCCTCGGCCGCGATCAATAGGCTCGAGGTGGCGAGAGAGCAGCGCCGGCCGCTGCGGCCCCTCCGCCGGCACTGGCGCCACCCCTGCCAGACGGCCGGCCGGGCGGCGACACGTGGCGCGGCACCGCCACCCCGCCCGTCTGCAGAGAGCGCGGGAGCGCGGCACGCGAGCGGCCCCGCGCCGACGACCGGCCGCGCGAGATGATGCCAGCGGCCGGGCCGGCCGCGCCACGCTCTGCTGGTGCGCCCGGCGCGGCCGGACAGCTGCTCGCGGCCATGTGTCGGTCCGGAGCCGCGCGGCCCGATCGGAGGCCGGACCACCCGGCGCGTGACCAGCCACCGGCTGTGACCAGCGCGCAGCGGTGTCGCCGTCACCGGTCGCAGTTCCATGCCAATCTCACTACAAAGTGTCACTGAAGAACTGCATGCTTGTTAGTTGTTGAACTGATAACCACGCCCACTAAGGGGCCACAAAAGCGCATTCATTGCATTTGGCGGCACGCTTACTGCTGGAGCTCACTTCGGCATTACCAACGATAAATTACTTTGTCAACGCCACGCTTTTGCGTGTGCAAAATGGGTGCTTCGGATGTTTCGCAACTCACGTCCGCGTGATAACCCGACAGTAAGTGGTTCTGACCCTGCCATATGGCGGTGACGGTGACACGTTCCACCAAGTCATGTATACCGGACGCGGGAATCCTTCCGTCAACGTCCCGCCAAGGTCACCACACGAAACTAACCATTTCTCACTGACCTCGCTTCGCGAATGTCCCCCTTCACGATGAGAGGATACGAGCACCTTTTAACGGTTTCAGCCGCAAATGGCGCGGCGTGCATAACCACGGCGTCCAGCTGCACGACGGGCACGATGATCTGTTTCGTAACACCCCACGAAGGCGCCGGGCGGACACGAGAAACCTGTCTCTTAGCTGGTATCACAGTGGTGCACGCCAGCGCAACTGCGACCTCCAACCCGCCATAACACGTCCCATTGATGTTTGTTTCCGTTTTAGTACCGTGCCTTCGATGCACGGCATAGGCCTCTCAAATGCATGTCATCATGACACCTTATAAAAGATCTTTATTCCAAGATGAGGGCGTATGAAATGGAACAACTCACAACGGTGCGGAGAGGATTATTTTCATTTTAGATCACATCACACGTCGCGCATCAATGGTGCACAAGGTTCATTGAAACGATTGCAAACACTTCTCATAGTTATTGGTTAACCGGACACGACAGCCGAGCGTGCCGTACGTACTGGTTCAGTATACATGTGACATTCCTCGCTTTCTACAGTGCTTGTCGCCTAAACTGTCCCACATCTGTCATGCAATTTCAGAAGACCTGCGTAATCAAAAGGTTCATAGTTATAACCAACCAAATTTAAACAACACAAAAGTGGCCAAACATAAAATCAGAGGCTTAGCGCCTGATAAATTGAAGATGCCGGACGATAGCACTGTTTGTACCTGGCGGCGCGGTCCCTGACGTCACGGCTGTGACTTCAACACAACCACAGCCAACACATCGCCGCCCGCTGAGACCCATCCGGCTCCAGGGCACCTCCCGTCAGCCACACGCCCAACTGCAGCGGCGCCACGCTCCGTCTACCCCTCCCCCGCCAGCGGCACGACTATCTGCGGGGGCATGGGTCGTCAACTTGGCTGCCAAGGGAGCCGTGTGACCTCGGCTTCGATCCCAAGGACGCCTCACGTGGCCGCGTACTTGACCTCGTCGAAGGCCTTGCGCGCCTTCTTCAGCTCCTCGTTCATGGAGAGCAGGTCGCGCACGCGTGCATACTTGCGCGGATCCTTGCGCACCAGATACATGATGTCCTCGACCTGGACGCGACCGTTCCGGCCCACCTCCATGGCGCGCTGCGTCATCTGCGCGATGAACTCGATCACCAGGTCCTCGAGCAGGTCGACGCTCTCCGTGTACGGGTTCTGGTCGTCGCCGAAGCCGTACATCATGCAGCGCAGCTCCTTGCTGAAGAAGCGGCGCCGGCCGCTGCCGCCAGCCAGCTGGCTTCCGTCCTCCTCGTCCTCGTACTGCTCCTCCTCGGCCGGCGCCGCCATCGACTGCAGCAACAGGGCGGCGGTCGCCGTCAGGTGCCGCCGCGTTCGCCGGCGCGGCGGCCGGAGCTTCCCAAGACCCGCGTGATGACATTTGACGCTCGAGTCGCGGCACGCGCTGCAGGATCGGGCCGCCGGAAATGCTAGAGGATCTTAAGGAAATGCTCGAAAGTGCAGACGGACTTCCCAGCTTAACTGCGCTGGGTAGTCGAAGAGCATTGGTAAGCTGGTCTGTCTTAACTCAGTATTCAGATCGTACAATTATTTTCTTTCCCCGCATTCTACGAAAATTGAGGGGCATCAGATATTAAGTCCAGGCTGACCGCTATATGATTAGCCCTAGCCGTGAAAAGGGGCCTTCAATGCACCACTAAGCTTTTTTCTAAATACAATTTTGAGCCGTTTCAAGCACGATGCTGAAGTTTTCAGAAGGCCGCCCAGAAAACAACTTTTACATATGCTTCAAAGATTTGACGTTTGTGTGTCATTGGGACTTTATGACACACTCAGCTGCACAGACTAGACGGCACCATCTGCTTCTCACCCTGAGATGAAGGACGGGCACCGCGGGGAATCAAACCTCGTACCTGTGTTCCGAGTTGAAGTTCCTGACCTTGGCCGTTACGGGCCTGCAACTGTTTTTCGAGGTCATGATGGCGATATTTTGCTCAAAAGTGGCAAATAACGGTAGCATCGTTCTGGCCACTTTTGCAAACCCGAGGAACCCCCATTAAGTTCCGTCTAAATTCAACAGCTTCATTGTCACATAACATTCATTTGGATGGCACATGTCTCGGAAGCCTTGCCTTGGAAAGGATTGAAGCCGTTCTACATTTCTGGTCTCATTTTTCCTAAACTAATCCGAATGGTTTGCATGGATGGCCTTGGGTTCGGAGTAACGTGCGGAGCCTTGTTTGTTACGGGTATCCTGAACCCACCAGCCAAGCCGTGCCGTATGGTTCAACAAATATCCCCTCCACCTCTTCGCCAGACAGGAATGCGGAGTATGCCACCCACATCGGACAACACGCCTCGCAACAGACTGGTCGAAGACGAGCTTCTGGCTCAAAAAAAAACACTGTAAGTAGCCTCAGCCCATTCCGTTCTGTTTTGTTGCCGCCACGGTTGGAAGACCACTCTAGCGGGAAGCAGGTCCAACAAACCCGCCGAATCCTGCCAGACGCCAATCGAGGGTGAGACCTTAGCGGCACCCGACGCCCTGAACAAGACGCAGTATTTGGTCTTGGGCTGCGAGAACCTGATAACCGCTGTCCATCATAAGCCACTGATAAAAATCTTCGGTGAGCGGTCCCTGGAGGTCATACCAAACAACCGACTTCGCAGCCTCCAGGAGAAAACCCTGCGCCGCCGCCTCAACATTATCCACATCCACGGTGTCAAACACCGAGGCGCAGACAGCGTCTCCTAGCTTCCGACAGGGGCTCCCGAGAGCTTGACACTGGAGGGCGACGTCGTGGCTATCGGGGACAGCGACACACCTAGGCTGACACCATCCTGCCCACCGTGCGGGATCTGCGCGCAGCTCTGGCCGATGCAGCGTGGTCTCTCAGGAAGCAAGCATCACGGCCTCGGCGGTCTCCTTGGCCCTCCCAATGAACGTCAGGGCGATCACGTATAAATAATTCAGGCGTCGACCTTAAGTGCACCGGACATGAACCAGCTCGTCTCCGCCATCGACTCCGGGATGCCCCAGAAGAAGCTTGGACGCCCACCACCGCCGCGAGACTACCACAAAATCAACAAAGCAGACAGCACAAAAGACCTGATGCAAAATATGTTAAAATTGGATATAATCGCAGTAAGGAAAAACCGCATTGTGTAAGTGCCCGGTAGTCGTGCTCACCAATTGAATCTTCTTCACAGATAAACCGTTCTCCATGCATTCCCCTTTTCAGTTTTGACAAGTAATGCGAATTTGATACGCCAGTAGCTGTTGACTGACTTGGCAAGCGAGTGAACCTAGGACTAAGCAAAGCTCACAGTCTCCCATACATTGCATTGATCGTGGATACTGATTGTGATTTTTGAGGTATGGTTTTTGTGTGAAACAAGAAAGGTTGAATGCATCACACGCTCAAAATAACAGCCAAGTGCTGTGTTGTGAGGTTGGGACGACTTGACCGGTCTTCCTGCTTAAACCTAACCCCTGCTCCCTAACCAAGTCCCCAGGGGAAGCTTGGTGCCATCTTAATCAACCACTAGAGGCTTGTTAATAAAACAGAGGTCAATCCAAGAACAGGAAGCATGTACATGCAGCACATGAAACAGACCCCACATAAAACAGACTCCACATTATGGAAGCACTTGGTGAATAATGGATGATCACATGTCAACATCTAGGGTTCCCATGCTTTGCTGGCATGCAGGAAGTTGGGTACCACTGGAGCAGACGTAGCACTTTGTAGAGCACATCATTTATGGCTTAAACCATGTTCCAGGTTTGTAGAAACTCATGACAACACTAGCAGCATCATTATCTGTCCTAGAACCGTTCTCTTATCAGTACAAATATATACCATGAGATCACTACGTACTGACATGAAGACATAAGTATGATGTTTGGAGAGCTATCGTCCCTAGCTTAAAGGGAATGTTCAACACCTGTATGGGGTTTTCAGCTGCACTCGTCATCATTGAAGATCATTCAGTGCAGTTTCACAGCCCTGCCCTTCTTAAGACCTAAACCCCTGTAACTTCTAAGCTAAACGCCCCGCGCAGGCGGGAACCATCTTTCGGAGAAAAATACTTCCGGGTCACCTTCGCATTCATGACGTTATAATACTGTCATTCAAATCCTGCCGTTCCAAAAGGCGTGCGCCGATCACGGCCAATGAAAATACAATGGTCGATTCCGTCGTTACCGTCGGTCGTTACCGTCTGGCGTTCGTGAGCACGATTTCCAGATACAACGGTCGTCAATTGGCTCCCAATCAATATTGCACACGGTCGATGACGTAATCAAATAATGGCGCATCAAGGAGAATCTTTACTAAACGAAGAAACTGTATTGTCTGGAGCAGTTCTTCAATTGAAGGCATACGAAAGATATAACTAAGCTTTTTTCGTTATGCCTGATACTTGCCTCAATATCTTCCGATGCCAAACATTTCCCTTAATCCCCTTGTTATTCTAGACAGCGCTAGTGCTTAGGTTGAGAGAGGTGATGATCGGTCAATGGCTGGCCTCTGACCTCGTTCCATCCTCGACTAGTAAAACATGTAGCAAATTACCTAGCGTGGAATTGGCCACCGCTCCACCTATACCTTTGAACGAATGATGTTCACCACACCCTGGAAAGATGATGCAAGACTGGGTTAAGTTATGTCTGGTCAGAGCAGGCCAGGTCAGGTCATGCTACATCATGTCATGTCATGTCAAGTCAGGTCAGGTCAGGTCAGACTGGGTCTGGCCATGCCAGTTTGCTCGGGAAAAAGGAGTGCTCCACATTTGTATGGAGCTTCGAACTGAAAAAGCCCTCTTGAAAATCATTCAGTGCAGTTCAGAGCACTGCCCTTGTTATAACCTAAACCCGCCTAGTTTCTGGGCTACACGCCCGCGAAGATCTTCAAACTATTTTGGTTCGACGATTTCAAGGTCACCCAGACATCCATGGCACCACAATAACTTTATTCAAATCCTGCTATTTCATTAGCCATGCAGCGACTTCGGTCAATAAATATATGATTATCCAGTCACTCGTATCTGGCGTTTGTGAGCACGCTTTCCAGACATAATGCCCGTCAATTGGCACACAATCAATGCTGTGCAAGGTATGATGATGCAAACAAACAATAATGTGCTGAGGAGCATAGCTGCTGAACAGAGCAATTGACTTGTCTACAGCTGTAGTTTGCACTCAACAGTATACCAGTTCTTACAAGTCACATTGTTTCATTATATCCAATGCTTACTTCAATATCTTGCAACATGGAACATTCCCTTTAAGCTTAGCTTGGTTGTTCAGTCATTTTGGTATTGGGACCCTTTTCTTCTCCTTTGTTTTTTGCATATTCTTTGAAGTGTTGGCTTGGCTTAGTTACAATAACCATGTTTATCATTCTGGCTTCCCCCACTGAAGTTCCCTTAACTAGCAGCTATTTTCAATGAAATGATAATCAACTACAAGCTAACATTTCAGCTCTTAACTGGCAGCTGTTTTCAATGGAATAATGATCAACTACAAGCTGACATTTCAACTCAGTCTACCTTAATTTGAAAGATGAAATGATCTGACATGGTATTGGCAAATCCAGGAACTATGTATGATCTCACTGAAATGAAGTGCTGCACTTGGTATGGGGGTTTGAGCCAAAATAACTATCTTTAAGATCATTTGGTGCAGTTTACAGCACTGCCCTTATTGAGACCTACACCGCTCAAGTTTCTTAGCTATATGCCTGTAGACATGTATACTTTTTCAGGGAGACTATTTCAAGGTCATCCAGGCATTAATGATCCCAAAATAACATCATTCAAGTTCTACCACTCCATTAGCCACACTGATCAATGGCCCCCAAATGCAATTGTTGAGTCGTTTGTAAGCGTGATTTCTGGCCATAACAACCATCACTTGGTGCTCAATTAGTGCTGCTCATGGTTTAATGATATAATGGAACAACAGTGTATTGAGAAATATATCTACTAAACACAGAAACTGTGTTGTCTGAAGAAGTCCTTTCCACTTACAAGCACACCAAATGCTATAAGTGAGCTTATTGCATCATATTTGATATTTGTATCAGAATTCTCAAATATGGAACATTTCCTAGGAAATGTCCCATACTTAAAGATATTGAACAAAGCATCAGACATGGTGAAATCACTTTACTTAAAGTACTGGCTTACTTTCAGGCTGGTGTTCCACATTTTTAGGGCATTTTAAACTGAACTAGCCATATTGAAGATGTCAGTGCAGTTCACAGCCCTGCCCTAAATCAGACCTAAAGCCTAACTACTTCTTCTAACTAAAGACCTACTTCTGAGCT